CAACCTTTTCAAACCAAGCGACAGCCTTTACTATCGTCTCCGGGACTGACCTCCCGCAGGGCTCGTCCCGGCGGGTTAGCAGATAGTCCACCAGGTCTATCGGACGACCCGGAGGATGTAGCAGCTTAGCCTCCTGTAGCCAGAGTCTCCAGCGTTGATAGACCACGACATATCTCTTGAGCGTTCCCGCTCTTGTCTTCCCCGCCAGCATCTCCAGGGCCCTGGCTGGGTCCAGGCTGTCCTCTAGCTTCTGTAGCACGGGGGCGTCACTAGCACAAAGCTCACTCTGTAGCTGCTTTGTCCAGAAAACCAGCAGCCTTTCTTCGTGAGCTAGCAATTCGCAACCCGAAAGCTCTAGCTTGCGGATTCTATCTCCTGGCGGCGGAGGCTTCTCCGGGACCGTCTCTGGTCCGAAGCGCCGCCGCTGAACCCAAATATTCAGGCCCCTATTCCCTGGCAGCTTGCAGTCAGCGACTTGATAGTCCATGCAAGCGTTGGGCTGAGAAAACAAATCCTGGAGCGCGGTGCTCGTTCTCAGCTCCCTCAGGCGCCTGAGGCTGAAGCAGAGACGTCCAAGTCTGACGAGGCCTGGATGCTTTTGTACTTCGCAGGCTGCTTCGGAGGGGTGGGTTTAGGATTTTTAGGGTCCAGAAATCAGTTGCAAAGGGATCAAGTCGAATCATAATCTAAACTCCTTGAAAGGCGGTTATAGGGGATTTATAGGGGACTACTAGGGCTTATTCAGGGGGATACTTGGACTTTCCATTGGCTCATATGCCTCTGAGTAGACTGCATGATGCTCGTCATGGGGATTGCTGCAGTCATGGCAGCGGCGGCAGCAGACGGAGGGTGGGGTTGCTAACATCTTGTTATTCAGGGTCTGCACTCAAACGCACATATGAGCTCAAATTGCCCCCCTCTCTTCAACATGAGGCCCATTTCGTTGGAGAGTTGTATATATCTGAGTTTGTGTGATGAGGCCAAGCATTCAAGATTTTGGAAGGGCAGCTCTGGAATTGGAGTACATAAATCTGGCTTTCTGTGCTGCTTCAATCCTACAGTGCTGATGCTGGAGATTCTTCGGGTTGCCACAAGCACCTAACTTTCAAAGAGCAAGCTTTCGCCTTCCGTCTAACCTGCTATCCTCGAAATGAATGGGCTCAGGCAATTCCTGCAATCAGGGCATCGAGTATCAACAGGCGGCAACATCCGGGTAAAGCTAACCCATTTCAAAAACGTTCTGGGCAGTAGGGGAATGTGAGACTTTAGGTGCAGTGAACGCGTATTACTTGTCGCATGGTTGGTGCTTGCCCTCAAGCTTACAGACATATGCCCGATTGCTAAATCCCATAGGCTCAACCCGAACTCCTAAAACCTAAAACCCTAAGCCCTAAATCCTACATCCTACACCCTATTTAGTCAGATCTCATAAGAACCTCATCCCTAGGACCTAACACCTATAAGTTCTGAAACCCCAAAGCTGTGGGGCCTTGCACTTCTGCGGTTTGATAGGGTTTAAGGGTTTTGGGTCTATGGCCTCAAAGTGGTTAGTTCTAGCCCCTTATCTGCAATTCAGGGTTCCCACCTCGAAGACCCTTTAAACCCTGAACCGCTTTAGCATTTAGGGTTAGGGACCCAGTTTGATGTGATCCTACTCTCCATGAAATCCATGATCTCATGGGGAGAGATTGGGCGCAATGGGCGATCCAGCGTGCTGGGACGGGCCCTTCCAGCCTGAATCTTGCTGCGACACGGCAACGGGGCTAAGATCAGAGCTTATATGCTTCGGGTGTAGAGGTTTGCTTTGGGGGTGTAGGGTCTGGGATATATGGGATATACAGGATTTGTGCGTTTCGAGAGTTGGTTTCAAGCGCGGTGTCGAAAGTCAGGCTTTGCCTTTCGTGGCTCAGCCAAGCTGTATCTCCTCGAGACATGTAAAAACATTCTGGTAGCAGTCCTCTGAATCGCGTCTTCCCTGTTGAGAAACAAGCAAGAAGTGTTCGGTTTCAAGGTGCACGAGAAGTATCTTCAAATGCGAAAGCTGAATCCTAAAGCATCGAACCCAGAGCCTGCTTAGGTGGCCCGAAGCTTTTCTTCCCATACTATCATACCCTCCAAGAAGAGAGCCCGGATGAATGCCGAGCCCACCCCTCGACTTCTGAGACCTTCAACAGCTTCGACAGAGTGTTCTGTGTGTTGGTTTACATATATACCATAGTCTAAACTCCTTAAAGCGGGATTGTATGGGGGATTATACAAAGGACAATTATAGGGGTTATTGAGGGGGATACTAGGAGTTTAGACAGTGGCTCATATAGGGTTAAGTACGCTTCAGGGTTTAGCGTTTGGGGCTGAGCAATGGGTCCAGGCAACGCACGGGCCACTTGGCAACGCGGAGTGCTGGAATGAGGCAGGGTGCCCTGCGCCCTTGTGGACCAATTAGGTAGTGAAGTGCTTTCATTGGGGATAATAAATAAAGATCAAGTATACCCTCCTTTGAAATATATCGGGTATTTTGGAAGGAAATCATCTTATGGGATTCAACAATAAAACATTCAATCATGTGTCACCGCAAAGCAGAGGGGCAATAGCGAGTGATCCTACAAGCGGAAGAGAATGACAAGAGTTGGGATGGAGAATTGTGTCAGCAGCCACAAGACAGTCGATTGTAAGAAGAATCGTCCAGGCCAGGGTTGACCTATCCCCCAACTCCGCATAATTCATACAAGTCAAAGTCCTGTGTCCTACAAGGCTTGGGCTTTGCGCAAGCCCTTGAATGCCAACCGATGGGTTTGGGATTTGGGATGGATTTTATTGGTGCGGGGTAAGAGTTTAAAGTAGAAGCTTGAAACATCACCATTGTTCCCTCTATGTTTGGCCATAGTTCTTCTTTGACTTTCGTGATTGTTGCCTAGACAGCGAAATTCTTCGATTACACAAGCCGCCCCAGTATTCGGTAAAGCAAATGGGCTTGTGACTTGCTACTTACTGCGGCTTCGACTCAGCTACAAATCCAGCAAGTGTACGTGGCTTGCTCATTATTGGAGTATCTGTAGCATTGGCTCATTTGTTGCAAGTCACCAAATCCTAAACCCTAAAGCCTATACTCAGACTACCAAGACAACCCTGAAATCCTTAAGCCTTCTACTGTAAGGGTTTAGGCCTACGTAGAGTTTGGGGGCTTTGGGCTTAGTATCCCTGAATCAACCCTAAACCCTAAGATTTAGAGGGTTTAGGGTTAATTCCTAAACTACGAGCTATCAGCTATCATGCCCTAGGCCGTCGAGTCCTCAAGATCGCCAAGATCCCGTCAGCCAATTTTTTCTACAGAAGCCCTGTAAACCCTAAGCTCTTCACCTTACAGCAAGCCCTTTCTGGGTTTAGGGCTTAAGGTTTATGAGGCCCCAACTGACCTGCAATTCCCTTCTGCCCCGCAGTTACTTGGTTGAGGCTATGAAGCTAGGAGCTGGCGGTGACAGGATAACCCAGGCAGGAAAATGTGGTTTCCCCAAAAAATGCTGCCCTTAACTTAAAAGTAGTCAGCTAGGGGAAGGAGACCGCCGGAATGGGCTTCTGGTTTTTCCATGAATTCAAGCCACCCTAAAAACCGAACCTGAAGCTATCACCCGTAAACCTTGTTCTTCAAGTCTAAGCTCCGAAATCCCGAACCTTCAGCCTGACTTCTGAACCAGAAGCCGAAACCCCCAACCTTAACGTCCAAGCCCTAAATGGACGACGCTTTAGGGTTTACTGTAGGGGCCGAAAGAATTACCAATATTATGGTTGCATATTCCTTGTATAATTCTAGTATATGATACCTCAAATGGACCTCAAAATGACATTGGTAATGCCCTGTACTATTTTGCATCCACAGGAGCTATAGTCTAAAGTCCTAGTCCCCTTAATAAGCCCTTTATGGTCCCTTACATAATCCCTACTCCCTAAACCCTAAACCTCTTTAGGCCCCTGTAGTGGCAACTCAAGCTCTGGCAGGCCTTCACCTTTGAGAGATGCTGTGGCTCAAGGCCACCACCAACGACGGCTCCATTCGCGGCAGCCTCCTGCTGGTCCCAGGGCTTTGGCCCGGAAGCTGGGTTGCTCTTATTATGAGATAATATAGGGAATCTGGAAAAGAAAATGGAAACGACTACAATGGAGTAATATTGGGATAATGGAAAAGAAAATGAAAACGACTATAGCTGTAGTCTAAAACTCCTTAAAGGGAGTTATATAGGGGATGATGTATTAAGGATTTCCTATTAAAATTGGGCTTGCAAAGGAGGATACTAGGAGTTTAGACTATAGCTCTTATAGCGATAAGAGTATTTGGGCGGGCAGGGTTTGAGGTTTGGGCCTTACTGGGTTCTAGTTCTGTGACAGCGTTTAGCGTGAGGTCAGAGATACAGGTTTGAGGCTTCGGGTAGAGGGTAGAGTAGTGAGGGGTGTGGTGTAGGCGTAGGAGTTTCTTCTCAAGGTTGGGGGGGCAATCTTGATCACGTCTTCGGATGTGCAAGTCCAGGTTGTAGAGATGTTGGCTTGAGATGTCCGATGTTTGCAATGGGCTCTTATTAGACGCGTTGTGTCCAGGCTGCGTGACGAGATTGCACGAAGCTTCCTGGTGATCAGTAGAGAACAAGGGAATCCCTACATAATCCGTACAAAATTGTTGATCTCATCACTGTTTAATATAGTCCCCTATTCCCTACTAACCACCCCAGTAGGGTAGCATTTGGAGCCTTGAGCCATCGAAAGCTTCGAGATGGGAAGGAGGGTCATTCCTGTCTCCTAAACTGACGAACCCCTTGGGGTTAAAGGTTTAGAGGCTAAAGGTTTAGAGTTGCTACATCCCGCCCATGTAAGTCCGTGACTCCCTTGCAAGTTGCATAGTCGGAAAGCAGCTGAGGAGATATGCTGCCAGGGCAGAGGGCATCCTGCCTGCTGGGATGGAGTCTACACCTTTGAGAGGCGGGTCTTCGACCAAAGAAACCCTGATAGGCTTCTTTCGCGAACATAATGGCTCTCTGGTGTTTTCAGATGCAATGAGACCATCAACTTGAGGTAAGCCACAACGCTGAAACAACCCTGATGGGAGCGCTGGGTTTGAGCGCTTCAGGTCCTTCCATCCGCTGAAAGGAATCCTTAAATAAAGGCCGGCTGTCACCATTGAAACCCTGCATGCAGACGGTTGGGCTTCTGCAAAGTGAATGCCCTAAGCGCCTCAAGACCGGAAGTCATGGAAAGTGGAAAAGAGAGGAGATTATAGGAGCGTTACGGATTGCGCAGGAGTTCTTATGCAAAACTCCCATGTCGGATCTAGGCGCCGCGGAGGTTTATGTGCTAAACAGGAACTGAAGACGTAAGCCCTATCCCCCTACCCTGAACCCCTAAGTCAGCCCCACAAACCCTAAACACCAAAACCCAAAGTGGAAGCCTCAAAAACTCCAGTTATCCCCACAAAACCTTAACACCAAAACCTGACGTGGAAGC